TAGTATAGGGGCCGGCCAAGTGGCTCAGTTGGTTAAAAGCTTGCTCAAGAGTGTGAACTCTGAGCAACAGGGCAGGGTCACCGGTTCGATTCCCACAGGGGCCAGTGAGCTGCATCCAAGCTGAGCTGCCAGCAGGTGGCAGGATGGCTCAGCTGGTGAGAGCACTTGATCCTAACAACAAGGTTACCTGTTCGAGATGGTGGGCTACACCTGCCTGCAACTAAAGACTGAACTCAGCACCTTGAGCTGAGCTGCCACCCAGGTGGCTCAGGGGATAGAGCTTGCACTCTTAACAATGAGGCTGCTGATTCATCTCCTGCATGGGATGGTGGCTATGCCCACCCGCAACTAATTGAACACAGCACCTTGAGCTGAGCATTGAGACTGGACTTGGAGCTGAGCTAGCTGCACCCTCCACAACTAAGATTGAAGGACAACAACTTGGCTGTTCCCCTCCCCCAATTCCTCAACACTGTTCCCCTCCCTCAATTCCTCAATAAAATCTTTTTAAAAAAAGAAAAGAAAAGAAAATAGTATAATAAATAGCAAAATGAATATTTATTTATATTTTGCTACTTTTGATTCATTTTGTCCTTGCTGAAATATTTTTTTAAAAATTTCAGAGATTACAACTTTGACCTTCAGGTATTTCAGTACAAGTCTGTAAAAAATAAGGACATTTTCTTACATACCACAATACATTATCATATCTGACAAATTTAACGCTAATTTCTTATTCATAATACTTTAAATTTCTGATTGTCTAGAAAGCTCTTTTTACAGTTGATCTGTTTGTCAGGATTCAGATAAATTCTACACATTGCATTTGGTTGTCAGATCTCTTAAATGTTCTTTAATCTAGGACAGTTCCTCCCTTATCCCTGCCCCTTATTTTTCATACCATTGATGCATTAAACAGACTGAGTCTTAAAAAAAAAAACCAGACTGAGTTAGTTTTCCTGTACTGAAATATCCTGCATTTCAGATTTGTCTTTGCTTCCTTCAGATGATATTTAATTTATTCTTCTATACCCTCTATTTCTTATAAATGCAAAATTTGATCTAAA